ATAGATAGATAGATAGATAGATAGATAGATAGATAGATAGATAGATAGATAGATAGATAGATAGATAGATAGATAGATAGATAGATAGATATTACTCTGCTGACATCTAAGTGACTGATGGTTTCTGTGAGGCCCTTGAGTTAAATCATGGAGTGTAAACCTAATGATCCACTCCTGTCATGCAATTACTACAGGAAAAGTACACTCAAACTGAAATCAAATCCTCAGGGTCATAATGGAGTCAAAATCCCATTATCCCTCCACCGCCATCCTCTCCTCTTCCTCCTCATCCTTCTCCACTTGACATGGAGATCAGGTGCAGTGGTGTAATCCGATCCCCGTACGGTGCAACTGTTAGTCATGCTGCCGATTCAAGAGACGATGGAGGTCAAGTGTGATTTTTACTGAATGATTTTTGCAGTCAAGTTTTTTATTTTCCTTTTAGATAGCACATCATGCCGACTCACTAATCAGAAATGAGAGGGTGAAATTTTGCAAAGGCGTCAAAAAAGCAGTCGTACTCAGAAAAACACCAGAATCCAGTCATTCTCAAATGAATTCTCTGTAATTAAATGACCTTAAATCACTTATTAAAAGGACATTTAATGTGTTGTGTGTATCAACCTCCWGATAATCATGTAAATACCCATGTGCAGGACATTTGCATGCTTTACTTAAGGAGAAAAGTATATGTGAACCAGAATCAATGCAAACATACACATTTTTTTCTTTCTTTTTCCTTTTTCCTTTTTTTTCTTTATCTTGCATTTCAATGTCTCCAGCTAGTGGACACAATGAAACATAGCACAATCTGTCAGCTGGTCTGTACTGTATGGCTTTTATTTTTATTTTTTGGCTTGTATTATCACTACCTTTTTTAAACTTTTAGTTTTATTAATGGASAATTAAAACATAAATATATTGTTTCTGTAAATTATTTACACATTTTGTATTGGCTTATATTTTTAAATCAAGACAAGATTAAACTCAAATCCAAGTGCTAACTTTTCTAAAGCTTTCAGATGTTTGAGTGGGTTAAAATTGTCCAATAGTACTATTCCTTCCTATTTCTTTCCTATTGTATTTCCAATATAATTATTACTAAAGCCAAACAAAAATAAACAAATACTTTTTTATCAAATGTACCAAATCTTCAATCTCAAAGTTCATTTAGAATACACTAATTGTTCGTTTGTGYCCACTAGAGGGCAGTGCTGCCTTTTGTTTTGAAGCAGCAATCATTAAGCAACAGAAGGTTTATTTTCCTACAAAGCTATGATAAGACTGATAGATAAACGTCAGATAGCATTATCTTATTTTAAATGATTTTACAGAAAGGTAATCTTATCCTTTCCTTTTGAGCTTTTAGCGCTCTAAATCACACCAGGCAGCTTTTAAACATGAGCTGTGTTGCAAAACTGGGCTCTGCACCCAAAATAATTACAACTGATGATGACTGAATGCCAGCAGAACAATTCGTTGTGCGCTGACAACAGTGAAAAGCCACTGCCAAAACAAAGACAATTCTAAGCCATGATATAATCAGCGAGTTAGCCACATGACTCATTGCCAGTCTTTATTTTCAAATGTTTGTCTTCAACCAGTTGTTTCATATCATTGCTGAACGAGGACCAGTAGAACAAACACAGAGAAAAGCCAAAGCAATAAGTTAAATTAATGGCAGCTAAAAAAAAAACAACATATGGGCTTTTGTCTGCAATTTTCTWTACAATCTGATTTGTCTTTGCAGTTGTTATAGTTTGCACTGAGACATGGAAACAATGTAAAAAAAAATCTGACACACAGTGCAAGTTTGTATATGTTTAATAAATAACAACATAAACATCATTTATAACAAAAGAAGTGTTTGTTTATTGCCAGGCCTGGGTCAAACTGTTTTTGCAGGGTTTCTCTTTAGCTTTTTTTTTTCAGCTGGGTGTTTTTTGTAAGACTGAAAAACTACAACAAGTAGCTTGACTGTGTTCTCATGCCAAATTTCTTTTCTTTCTTTTCTGTCGCTGGCTCGGTTGCTATTTATTGGTACCAGCACAGGTTTTAGCCTGTGCTCTCTGGAATCAAGTCACACTGTCTCGTAAATTCAGTTGCTAGGTTTTTGGAAGCTGTACAAACAATAGTACAGATTTGGTGTGATTCAAAATCCAGATTTCATGCTCGGATCAGCAGATGCCCTCTGGTCTGGCGTGTCCAACCGACAGGAGACCCTGGGGAAGACATGCTGGAGAAGACTTGTCTCTCAGCTGGCCTCTCRAAATCCCTCCAAATGCCCCCAAACGAGGTGGAAGACGTGACTTTCCAGGCCTTCCTGCTCAAGCTGCAGCCCCTGTGACTCGACTCCAGAACAAGSAGAATATAATGAATGGATGGTGTCAAAGGTTAGTATAATAACATTATTAAGATTATGATTTAAATAGAGCCATGCACGTCTAATCTCACTGCAGCAGCACAGATGGAGTGTCAGCAGACACTGAGGCATTTTATGGTTGTTTGTGGTCTTTTATGCTACAGTAAGAACCTTTAACAAGCTTGAAGTCAAAATAAAAACCATAAATGTAGCTGGAATAGATTCAGTTCATTGATAGCTTATTGTCTTTTTTTGTTCTATTTGGTTTGTTTCCTTGAGCAGTCAGTAATCAAGTTAAAATATGAACTACATTTAGATGCCTAATTTACATTTTCTGTGTCTAGATCACTTCATGCCCGTCTGGTGCCGATCGTTATGCTGCTGTTTAAAAAGCAGTGCAGCTGGACTGTTTCTGTAAAAGTTTCTGAACATTTTCCAAAATGAAARGTACTCAACACACAGGTAGAACCTCTGCCCTCTGTATATATTAATAACTTGTTTTAAAATCACACAAATACAATTTATATCTTTAAGTGACTTACAGAATATTCCAGGTCAAAAGCACACTTCATCGTAGTTTATAATAATAATAATTGAAATGGGTGGGATTCTTTATAAATATCAAATTGTTCACACAAATAAAAATGTTCCCTCACAAATTAACTGTTTTTCAGTGTAATGTTTGAAAGTCGTGATAAATGTGCAATAGAGAGTTTAAACCTCCTCAAGGTCAGACTTGTAAACCACAACAAAGTTTTACAGCTACAACCTTTAAATACTGAAAAACAATTAAAAACAAACAAGCAAACCAGTCATCCTTAAGCTTTGAACCACATGCAGATACTTTGTGACCCAGGTCTGGTGGTTTTACACGTAGTCCAGATACTTTTACATATACCAATAATTTACTTTGTGCAGACGGTGAGAAGTCTTTGGTGATCATTTATGTGCAGGAAGACGCAACAGTCTGGATGCTAACGTGTCTCGGCGCTGACGGTGTACCACGCGTGAGCCTGCGTGTGTGGGAGTGCGCCTTCACTGCCGCCACGTTTTGCGGCTGAGCACGCACACGCACGCCACGTTGATGCGTATGAGCCTCCACGCCACCAGGTTCTTGAACGACGTCAGCGCTCGAACAAACGTGTGCGAGTTGGTGCAGTAGGAGTTCCAGTGTCTCGCGTCGATGCCCAAACAGCCCGAGCCGCCCGATCGAGAACTGTGACACGTCGTCTCGAAGAAGTACTGCTTCTTGTTGACGTTGTTGATGTTCACGTCYGGGAGCACCGTCACCTCGTTGCCTGAGATGTCTGTGGCTTTGGTTTTGTTCCCCACCCAGACACTAATACTTTCACACACAGAGTACACCCCGCGGTGCTGGGGGTGCCCTGCGCTCCTGCGGGTCCTTCTGCTGCCGCCCTGTGACCCCTCCGGCTCGGCATTTGGGGGCTGGGAGCTGAAACGCACCCTGGGTGAGAGGTAGTGGCGTTTGTTGAAAAGTTTGGGGTCCACACTGGGGATGGAGCTGCTCTGCTGTGGTGTTGTGGCGCTGYACAAGTCCCCTCTGGTGGAGGCCACAGCCTGGGCACTGAAGAAGAGGAACAGGACCAGCATGGATGACCTCATGGGCTCGCAATCTGAGAGGAGAAAATAGGAAACTTGTGTTACAGCAGGTCTCAAGTACAACATCTCTTTGTTCTTTCAGTTGTCATGCTAGCATGGTTGCACCAATATGAGTCTGCAATTAAAAGGTGAGAGTTTGCTTTTGTCCATGTCTTTCTATTTGTCTGTTAGTTAGTAAGTAAATAAGTAAGTAAGTAAGTACATAAGTAAGTAAGTACATAAGTAAGTAAGTACATAAGTAAGTAAGTAAGTATGTAAGTAAGTAAGTAAGTATGTAAGTAAGTAAGTAAGTATGTAAGTAAGTATGTACATAAGTATGTAAGTAAGTATGTAAGTAAGTAAATAAGTAAGTAAGTGCGTAAGTGCGTAAGTAAGTAAGTAAGTAAGTAAGTAAGTAAGTAAGTAAGTAAGTAAGTAAGTAAGTAAGTAA